GTTAAATATTTGGCAACAGTACTGTATAATATATATGTTGTATATCTCTTATTATATCAATCAGGAAACATGTAATAAGTTGATCATTTGGTGAAAGTGGTATCTATTAGATCTTCCCACTACAGAGATATCTTTTTTCCCTTTGTAATTAATAAGTAATTTGTGGGGTAGAGACCATTACTTTTAAAAGCCCTTGAAAAACATGAATTAAATATTATTTTTTTAAATGCCAGAGAAGCTAGCTTATTTTTACGGTAGAATTCCAATTAATACATGTACATAGTATGATGGAAATACAAAATTACCATTAGCCAAACACCACAGTAATAATTGTTGCGAACAAGAATCATCAATGAGTGCTAAAATTAGTGGGCAAAAGTATGATGAGATAAGGTATTTATGTAATTTCAAAATCTCCCTCCCAAGATACTTAATGATTACAAAGGGAATAATGGTAACTTCACAGTAGAGAAACCTGGCAGACACCTCCTTATGCAGTGACCAAAGTTAACATCACCAATAGTAACACACAGTGCATGTCACCCCTATAGTATTCTTGCCAAAATTGCATATCCTCATTTCATTCTTGACAAAACATCAGACACACCCAAGTTGAGGGACATTCTACAACATCACTGATTAATACTCTTCAAGACTGTCAAGATCATGACAAAAAAAGACTGAGCTGTTACAGATTGAAGTAGACATGACAACTAATTGCAGTACAGAATCCTGGATTAGATTCTGGACCAGAAAAAGGACCCTAGTGGGACAACTGGCAAAATTTGATTAAAGTCTGTAGATTAGTTAATAGTATTTAATCAATGTTAATTTTCTGGTTTGATGATTATACTATGGCTATATAAGGGGATAACATTAGGGGGAGCAGGGTGAAAAGTATGTGGGAACTCTTGTTATTTTTGCATCTTTTCTTTAAGTCTAAAACTATTTCAAAAGAAAAAGGGTTTTTTTCCTGGTTTTTCTTTTCAACCTTCTATTCCACTATCAAAGTCACTCAGATAAAATCAGTGTTTTCAATTCATATTGCTTGGGTTATAGTCTTCTGGTAAGTAAGCAAAGTGCTAATTTGTATAAGAACTAAGCCTGTTTAACAGAACATTCCCATGTTCTTTCTGCATTGTAACAAACACCCTAATGTCATTCCCATTCTGAGGACTGGATACAGTTTCACACAGAGACCTATGCTTCTCTCTTAAGACTTTGCTGTCACATATCATTCCTATAGTCATCAGTTTGTGAACTGTTTCTAGAAAACAGTTCATTCATTTAACAAATTTTATTGAGTACTTATTATGTACCAGGCACTGTTCTGGGCACTGGAGATAAATGTGTGAACAAAACAGTCAAAAATTCCACCCCTCATGAAACTTAGATTCTATCGAAAGACATCTATAGATGCCAAAATCATCTATAGATGACATCTATAGATGACAAAATCTATAGATGACAAAATCATTACATTTTTCAAGTATGTTTATAGTATGTTGTAGAGAAAAATAAAGCAGTAAAGGGTGAATGCCAGGTTTGGTGGGGAGAGCTTTCTTTATTATCTCGTCTAAAATAGCACTCACTGTCATTTTCCATTTCCTTTTCAAGATATAACTATTGATATTGTATATTAAAATATGTACATAATCTTTCTCCACTAAAATGTCAGCTCTGGCCAAGTGCCATGGCTCATGCCTGTAATCCCAGCACTTTGGGAGGTCAAGGCGGGACAATTGCTTGAGGCTAGGAGTTCTAGACCAGCCTGGGCAACATAGTGAGACCCCATTTCTACAAAAAAGTAGCTGGGCATGGTGGTGTACACCTGTACTCCTAGCTACTTGGGAGGTTGAGGCAGAAGGATCACTTCAGCATGGGGATTCAAGGTTACAGTGAGCTATGATTGTACCACTACACTCCAGCCTAGGTGACAGAATGAGACCCTGTCTCCAAAAAAAAAAAAAAAAAAAAATGTAAGCTCTGTGTAACGGCTTTATTCATTTTACTCACAACTGAAGAACAGTGCCTGACCCTCAATAAATATTCGTTGAATGAATCTTCCTCAAATGTTCACTCAGGTTCTATACCTAGCATAGTTCCTTGTACTCAGTGAGGGACTAGTAAAGTTTTGTTGATTTCATTAATACTCAGACTCAGGTTATGTAAGAGTCCATTTTGCTGAGTAGCTTGTGTGAGCTTTTTGTACTCTGCTGAGTGAGAATGGAACTCCCTCAAACTCTGGAACCACTTCTTAGTTGCCTGTTACTTTGGGGAATTTACCCAGCTTGTTTGCAAAGGAGTCACCCAATTGTACTTTCATTTAAAATATGACTCAAATGCTTTTCTTTTGAAAAATGAAAAACATAAAAGGAAAAATCTGTTTCCTTTTCAAGCTATGGAACTTTCATAGCTGAATGTCTTAGATATGCTATATTATCTTATCCCTAGATAAAAAAATACCCTATGCCATTCTCATATTTTATTCTCTGACCTGGTACAGTTTTTTTTTTGTATTAGAAACGTCTATTTCTTTTCCTGTAACTCTAATCATCTTTCATTTTTATATTTTGAACAGTGTTATTTACTTGTCTACTACACCGGCTGGCGGAATGTCAAATCTTTTTTGACTTTTGGCTTAATCTGTCTATGCAACATGTATCTCTATGAACTGCGCAACCTCTGGCAGCTTTTCTTTCATGTGACTGTGGGAGCGTTTGTTACACTACAGATCTGGCTAAGGCAAGCCCAGGGCAAGGCTCCTGATTATGATGTCTGACACCATCCTTCAGACATACTGCCTTGGCTTCAGGGGGAAAAGGAGGGAACATATCTTAACTGTCACTGTGATGAAGAAACTATTAACTACAAATGAGAAGCTCTGCTCTCTTTCTCTCCAACTTTCCTTTTTTAAAATCAGCATGGCGTGCCTGTGAGCATGCAAGACCTGCTAGGAAAACTCCTCTCAGAAGAATGTTGGCCATGAGATTATCATTCAGAGGAGGAGAAGGAAGAAACTTCTCTCTTCAGGGCTGGAACAGTGGAAGAACCGTCAGACGCCATTGGAAGACTTGGCCAGCAGCCCTAAATCCTTGCTGAAGAGTTCAGTCAAAAAATAGATATGGTACTTCCTCTGAGGACCAAGCACAGGAACTCTGCAACCTGAGTTTGCCTTTGTGAGGCATTAATATAGACCAAATATAATGATGCTACAGAAATCGGGAAGTCTACATTTTAAACAAATGACTGTGCTAAATACCAGATTATTTGCACATTTATGACGTCCAGGATGGTGTGGAATTGGTTCTTGTTACTTTTATATTTTTGCTTGAATCTTAACTCTAGAAATAACCTGATGTAGGAAAAGGCTGTGGTGAGCTCATCTCTGGAACATCACAAGTATTGCAAATACACTGACATGTTTCCTTTCTAGACTACGTTTGTCGTTTCTTTTAAAATCACTTAAAAAATGATGCATTAGACTATAGCTGTTCTTTCCCAAAACGAATCATTTGAATACTATTTATACTGTTATTTACTTAATATTTATCTTTTAAATTTTAAAATATTTTAAAAAGAAACAAATCCTACTCCAAATGGGAAATCAGTGTCAATTTACCATAAATAAAAGATAACCACAAAATAAATAAGATTAACACAAAAAATGTTAAGATATAGCTCGGTACTAATCCCTGCCAAGGCTCTGAATCTAAGAGGCCTGCTCTTTGTGACAGTGGAAGAGATGTTACCTAGCACCAAAATAAGGCTCTGTCTCTGGAATAGTCAGAGGACAATAGAAAATTGTAAAGGGAATGACATTCTTACTGTGATTCAGATACTGTTATTCTATGTTGTGCACCACCTAAAATCATCTTGTGTGCCATCAGTGATATAGGTCTTACACTATGGAAACACTTGACTGTACTAAGAGAATCAGAAGGTGACTTTGCTAGCAAATGTTATTATTTTATGGTTTTGATGGATTAAGCACCTAGTATCAGAGAGAACTTACTTGCTTTTTGATGACATTGTAAAAATTGTTCAGGCAGTTATGAATCAATAACATAGGAAGCACAGTTTGATTCCATTAGCAAAATCTATAACTCTCCTGGTTTTGGAAGTCATTCCATGAGTGATTTTCCTTTGTTTTTTTAAATAAAAGATTTCAAACAAGGAATTCATAGGTACTGAAATTTAATATCCACAAAAAAACAGTGGACCCCATTACATTGTAATTTATGTTTTGGGGCATATTTATTAAGTAGAAGAAGTAGTCTAGAGGGTAAAGTCTTTGAACTACCTTGTTTGCCTGAACCAGTATATGTGGATGTGTCTAGAACCATAAAGTCTTGCTTAACTGGAACCTTTGTACCCTCCTCTTAGGAGAATGAGGTAAAAGGAAGAAAATAAGCTTATGATATCAGGGATTTATTTAAAATAAGGAAATTATAGTTCACTCCAGTTTTCTGCCTCTAGCAAGGTTGCATAGAAATTATATATATTCTGAGAGATACCCCAAAGAATCACATGATCCTAAATCATCAAAACAGCATTGAATTATGTTTGGCATTTTGTATTTACTGAACCAAGAAAGTGAAGTGGTTCAATTTAGAAAGCTTTTCTAAACTAATGGTTAAAACAGATAATATTCTTATAAATAGTCAATTAATGGTGAAGTTGGAGCATTGTGGTTAATTGTGATTTTGCTATGTATTGAGTTTATAGTTCTTACCAGTTTGGTTCAGGAGCTACCTCCTTATTGAATTAATGAGTTACAATGTTTGATATTTGGATCCACTCAGCAAGAATGCTTAAAAACTCCTCACCAGCTATTTTTAAAGACTTACTTTGTTTTTGTCTTGTCTTTTCACTGGCTATTTTGGACAAGAGGATGTTTACATCTTAATGTAAAAAATGAAAACAGGTAAAAATAATGTTTTATGTATAGAAATACTTTCTTTCATTATTTGGTGCCTGCATCTCTGATTGTTTGTAGAGCTTCCCTTCCTGTATCATGTTGCCAAAGAAACCATGAATTTGGAAAGAGAATCTTTGGCCATGGGTGTAAAGAAGTCCTTCAACTCTTGAGAAAGAATCACTTAGGCCTCCAAGGCATATGATCTTACACTTATATTGCACTTTTACTTCTAAGAATAAGTCTGAGTTTACCTCATCATAGTGAGTTTTGTAGCATAGGGGAAGCATAGTTGCCCTCGTGTTAAGGGGAGGGAGGGAGGACGCAAAGGTGGTCAGATGTTAATGACTTAGCTAAGCACACTCTAGCACCTCCTAGGAAGAGGAGTTCCATTCTACTAGCATGGAACTAATGGAGGTGACCAAGATTATATTCAGGGGGTATGTCTGTAAAATCAAGGAATTGAGGGGTTCTGAAATCAGTGAGTCAAGTCCTGCTACTGATATATTTCATCTTAATTTAGGTAATTCTGAAATACCGCTTTTTGATTATGGTATACCATGAGAACAAAAATACCCTCTTGTATATACTAAAAGTAATTGTAATATTTGCTTTCTTTTGTTGGTATTTATACCTGGCCTCTTTCCCAAAAGAATTTGAAGCAGCATACCAAATGTTAACAAAATATGAACAGAAAGGGAAGAAAACAAGATCAATGAAAATAGAGGGGTTAATATATTGCCATTAGTGTGTGTAAAATTTGACTCTGGAGCTTTAGGGGCAGTTAAGGCAAAAAGAAGGGAAACAAGTTATGCATTGCTCTATCAGTAGGTCAAAAGCATACCAGTTCCTCAGGGGAGAGTCCTCCCTGATGAATTCTGATACAAATGTTCTCTCTTGAGGGTCCCATGAAGTGCTAACATGAACACAACTCTGCAGTGATGCACATTTGCATCTTACGATTGTGCCTTGGATCTTCAACTAGTACCAACTTTCAAAGGTTTCCATTCAAGGTTTTTGGGTGTATGTGTGTGGTTAATAAAGGACTTTGTTTTTGTAAGTAAGGATTCTTATCCTAAGCTAAAAACAAGTATCTATTAAAGCCTGAAAATCCATTTGAGACAAATGCCTTGAGACATGGAAAACCTTTACCCAATTTTGTAATTTTATAACATATAAAGTCAGTGTGCTGTCCCTGGATTAGCACATTTATTTTGCATTAAAGGTGGTGGTTTTCACAGTAGAATCTAGTCTGGAGAAATGCACGGCTTTGTTTCCATTGGGCTGTGCGTGGAATCCCATTAGACTCCTGCTTTGTCAAGGCTCCACTGAGACCAAAGATTTGTTATGAGACACTTAACCTCCGCATCAGAGGAGGCAGCTCTGTGCTCCTGAGGTTAGCTGCTCCCTAAAAAGGCAGTTGCTTGGCCTTTATTTCAAAAGGTTTACTAAGTAACCCAAGGACACACTCAGTCATTGGATTTCCAAGGGTGCTCACTTTGTATTTTAACCCTTTTGGTTCACTTTAAGAGTTAGAACTACCGTGTAGTGTGTGGTAAAAGAACAAATAAATTATTTCAAGAGCAGCCACACACAGACCAAATTGAACACTTAGCCTTACCACAAATCATAGGCCACTCTTCAGGGTCACATTTTTTGTCTATTGTCAAGACTTCTTACTACTTTTCTGCTTTATTATCTCTAGGGATAGGAAGTCTTGCTACCTAAAAATGCTGTGGTAAAGTAAAACCTGATTTGTGAGTTAAATTGGCTTTAGTAATATCCTCTCTAAAAGTTAATAAAATAGCCCCTCAAGTTCAAGGGTTATGAGCGAGTTTGTGTGTAAAGGCTGAGTCAGCAGAGAATGTAACTTTTCTAGCATTCATTATTCATTAGGTTAGAGGTGTCTAATCATCTTCATCAGTGTCCGGGGGCTGCTGTTGAGTATCCTGGAGATTCCAGCCTCCAGTCCAAGCATTGAGTTTATCAAACAGAAGCAGCATCTGTGGCTGCTCTTGCAACGTCTCTTTCTTGAGTGGCTGAGCTTTCTAGGTTACTTTATTTAGCAGATGAAATCATAATAAATGTCGAAATCCCGCGTGGTTGGAAGCCATGTGGTTTGCATCGGCCTGCTTGTGAACAGTGAGCGGTGGTGATGTGTGGGCACGTGGGTTTCTTCTGCATGGGCAGTGCTGGTGTGTGATCAATTGTCTCAGCACAGGGGCCTCTCGGAGAGAACAGGCGTAGTTCTCCAAGAGTTCCTGAAATCGGAACCTAGCTTTACAAATTGTTCCCTGTGTTTCCTTGGCAACAAACTGTATTTTCAGCCCAATGTTACCCACAGTTCACATTTGCCCTTTTCTCCTGCATCATGCAGCACAGCAATGCAAGCATCACCCTGCAGAAAGCACATTCAGGCTCCATCTGACAATAGGCACGGGACTCATACATTCCCTTTCCCCTTTGTTCCTCCTGGCAGCCCCTCCCCAGCTGAGCCTTGGGCATTTGCCTCCTTTGTGCCAATGTTTTCTTCCAGGCTAGTTTGCAAAGGACCTTGCCTAAAGGTGAACCTGCCACATTTCACCCTTGAGTGTGGAATTCCTTTGGTGCCTAGGGCTAATAAGAAGAATGCTTATTAGTGCATTTTGTGGGCCTGTGCTAGGTCCTTCTATATAGTTAATCCTTATGGCAGACTGGAGGGGGAGCACCCTCATTTTCACTTGAGGAAACTAAGACTCAGGTCAAGAACTTGTCCTTTGCGTGGTATCACACTGATTAGTGGTGGGCGTGGTGTTCAAACCTGAGGTTCAGGTTCAGATGATTTAAAAGTTGGTGCTCATTTTTCTGTGCCACAGTGCATCTCAGACAATTCTGAGAGATAGCGAGTGTGTGTTACAACAGCTGGGCTCTTACTGGTGTGGCAGGAGTGAGAACAGATGAAGCAGACACAGGGAAATGGCAGTGTATACTATGCGACAGGACCTGCGTCTGCTGCGTATGTCATCCTCACGGAAAGCAGTCACGAAGGCTTTCTATTTTATAGACAAGCATCCTGAGCCACGATCACAATCTAACTTGTGGTGTAACCAGGAACTCAATCCATTTCTTACTCAGAACTCGTGCTCTTAACCACCATGTAATTTTAAGCTAGATAACATGAAGGTATGTTTAAATATATAAGGCATATATATTCAGGCAATAAACGTTACTTTTTAAATAAAAGCAATCAGATCAGTGCTGATTCCTATACCATAGATGTCCTAGGCTGAATGAAATAGTTTCCTGAAATCCTGACATTGACAATAGCGACACAGGGCAGATGGCTGATAGAGGTATGGTGGCCCTTAC